TGCCTAGACGAGGCCATCACATTTCAAATTCCAAATGAGTTGCGGAGATTGTTTGCTATAATATTAGTTCATTGTTCACCAACAAATGTAAGGAACCTTTGGGATACATATTTCGGAGCTATGTCTGAAGATTTCAGAAGGCACCAAGGAACATCACTTGAAGAACAAGTTGCCAAAACACTAGAAAGTGTCAAATTTTTCGTCCACAGCATGGGCAAAGTAATCACATCATATGATCTTCCTCGAATTCCTTCAAGTATAGGTTACCAAAAAAGACGCAATTCCCTCCCAAAAGAAGTACAGGATGAGTTATCAATAGAAACACCTCCAGAAGATGAAGAAGCAGAGGAAAAATTGAACACTCAACAAAAAGAACCTTTCACAATAATATTGTCATCTATACAAAAGGAAAATGGGGAAATTTTCTTTATAGACGGGCCTGGTGGGACTGGAAAAATATTCTTGTACCGTGCATTATTAGCACATCTTCGATCAAAAAAATTAATAGCAATTGCAACCGCAACATCAGGAGTTGCAGCTGCGTTACTGCCAGGAGGTAGAACAGCACATTCAAGATTCAAAATACCCTTAGATGTCGATGAAACATGTCTAAACAAAGTGGAACTGCAAAGCTATTACATAAAGCGAAGCTTATTTTGTGGGACGAAGCACCAATGGCAAAACGTTCCTCCATAGAATATGTCAACACATTGTTGAAAGACATAATGGGGAATAATAAAGAATTTGGTGGAAAGGTTGCAGTTTTTGGTGGCGACTTCAGACAAGTGTTACCGGTTGTTCCCAGATCAACAATTATCCAAACCATTTCCGCAAGCTTAGTAAGTTCATCTTTGTGGCCTAAAATGAAAAAAATATATTTGACAACAAATATGAGGGCTAGGGCCGATAGCAATTTCAGTGAGTTTTTACTTCGAGTTGGAAATGGGCAAGAGACAACATATTCAGAAGGAAATATTCATATTCCAAAGGAAATGATAATTACCTATGATAATGAGGAAGACTCGATACAAAGACTAATTAGGTCTATTTTTCCGGGCTTAAAGAAGAATGTTCACTCATCTGAATACATGTCAAGCCGAGCAATTTTGACACCGAGGAATGAGCATGTTGATGCATTGAATGAAAGATTGATATCTATATTTCCGGGAGAAGAGAAAATATTTAACAGTTTTGACAAAGCCGTCGATGACAAAAATAGAAATTATGATGAAGATTTCCTGAACTCATTAACTCCAAATGGCTTGCCTCCTCATAAACTGGTTTTAAAGAAAAATTGTCCACTGATTCTTTTGAGGAACCTAGATCCATCCAATGGGTTATGCAATGGAACTAGAATGGTTTGTAGAGATTTGAAGCAAAACATAATTGATGCTGAAATTGTATTTGGACAACACAGTGGAAAGCATGTATTCATACCCCGTATACCACTTTGCCCTGCCGAAAATGAAGGATATCCATTTCACTTTAAACGAAAACAATTTCCAGTTCGACTATGCTTTGCCATGACAATAAACAAAGCACAAGGACAAACGATTCCAAATGTCGGAATTTATCTACCTCATTCGGTATTTTCTCATGGTCAATTATATGTTGCTCTATCACGCGGAACATCCATGTCCACTACCAAAGTTCTAATTGCACCGGACATTACAAATACTCGGGAAAAGAATTGGACAAGGAATGTCGAGTATAAACAAGTCCTAAGTTCAGGTTGTAAAGTTATTCACTATTATTTTTTTTTTGCATTTTTTTAACCATCAACTAATTAATTCATTTTTAGGATGCGTATCGAGTGAAGAAGTATGTGATTAACTCTAGATGTTCAGAATCAATCATCAACATCATATTCAATTTGTCAAGGTAAGTATGAAATATTTACTGTTTGTATTATCCTTAACATATGCATTCTATAATACTTTAAACTAATCACTCATTATTTTGTTGTCAAAATATGTATCGCTTTTATTGTGGAATTCTATGCCACTGCAACGAGGAGCTTCACCAAATATAAAGGTAACGATTGCACTACTGCTACAGTTTTTTTGTGAAATCTTATGCTTACTGTACTTTAATGTGGAGGTTGAATCTTACAAATCATTTTTTTTTCACTATAGATTGGGGCCTTTGTATTCCCGACAATATCCACTGGATAAGAAGATGAAAGAGCATGTTTGTTGTGAATTGTTTTAGAGCTTATGCCATGATATATTTTTTTTTTTTCTTTTTTGTTATGATTTCATGTTTAAGTTGCAGCATAGATGAGTTGTTATTCATGTTCAAATGTTGAGAAGTGCTGGCGTTAAAAGCATGTTATTATGATTCTGACACATGGGATGTATGGTCTGTTTATGCGCATACCTGGCTGAGCCATTTCGTGTCTTATATGCCATTCTTGTGCTCAATTTTCAGAAATTTTAGAATTCAAGATTCAGCTTTTAAAAGGTCTATAAGTGTGGTGAAATAGGTAAATTGAAATGGTAAATTTATTTATTTTGGTTAAGGCACCTTCCATTATCTAAATATAGTTGCTGATTTTTTTTTCTTTAAATTATTTAGTTTTAAATTTGCACTCTCTTTTTACATAGTTGAAAATTAAATATAATAAAGTAGTAACAAATCATTCTGTATTACTATTAGGTACTTGAACTGACCTATGATTTTAACCAAACATTTATCTACTTCATTTTTTTTTATCAATTAAATGTACTTAACTAATTTCATAGCTCGGTTAGGAAATACAATCAATTGACAAATATATATACATATAAACTTTCTAAAATAATATCTAATTTTAAAATGAATAATTCATATTAACTTTTAAACAAACCAAATTATTGTAATGCAAAACCAAACAGAACCAAATACAACATCCTTTGAAAACATATAACAAACCAAATTCAATGTTTTAAAAAAATACATGTATGAAACTCTTTTTTTTATATATATATAATAATAAATCATTCTGACTTACTATACAACAAGGATATATACTTCAACTGCCTATGATTTGAACCAAACATTTATCTACTTTCATTTTTTTTTAAAAAATTTTTTTGGGGTCAATTAAATGTACTTAACTAATTTTATAGCTCCGTTAGGAAATACAATCAATTGAGTTGCCATGACATGAAACGCCAAGGAATCTTACCAGAGTTCCGTTTCATCACATTATCAGTTGATTCTATTTCTGATGTAACATACATAAGAACTAATAAGTATTAAACAAAATCACAAATTTCAATTTGATTTGCAGTATATTATTTAAAAAATATTCATTCGTCAATGTCTATTTACGTATTTGTGTCTTCAAAACTTTACTCATTTCATCGTCATAGTTAAAAATAAATTACATGTAAGGAATTGCCAATTTTAAAATTTCTAATTTAGTGCCATATATATGATTATTTGATTTGTGATCAAATTTTTTTGGTTTAGTCTCATTTCAAAGTTCAATATGTATTAATCTTTTAATTGTAAATCATCATTATAAATTATAGATTAAAATTGTAATCTATAATTCATTAACTTCTAATAAGACCTATTTAATGACATATATGATGCAATTCAAACGTTAACAAAATATCAATGTATTAAAATTACACTTTATATCATGCTTCATAATAAATTCATCCAACGTTCATATTACAATTTCAAATGTTAACGGTTAATTACAAATAATAAATCATTAGTTCAAATAATTCCTCAATCTCCACCATCCATTATGATTACATTTATTTAACAATTTATATTTCGATTGCAAATACTACAATCACAAAAATTATTTTTTTTAAAATATATATATATAAAAATTACATATATATATATATGTAATATATATATATATATATATATATATATATATGTAATATTATAAATTTAAAGATAATTATGATTTGTAACTGATTCAACCACACTTAATCAAAATATTTAACTATTTTGAACGTTGGAAATGAAAGCTAACAAATACCTATCTACCTTTTTTACATAAATACTTGTCTTAGCTCTTCATTTTTCACTTCATCATCATTTCCAAATATTATTAAGGTACGTCACTAATTTATATGTCATCTAATTGTTATACACATGAAATTGTTATTCAGTTTTTCATTACAATTATTATCATCTCCATTTTCCATTACAATTGTTATCACCTTCATTTTTTATTATAATGTTTGCTCATGTTTATGATAAAAGTTAACAACCATAGGGAATTTTTTTTTTTAATAAGCTCATGTTTCGTTAAAAGATTTCTTCACTACGTAATTATTTCATTATAATGTTTGCTCATGCTTCTTTATCAACTCCTTGTGGCAGCAAACTTTTAAAAAAATTCCTAATCAAGCTATATGATTATGTAGAAAACTGTACATCATGACATCCGAGGATCAAAGTGTCGTCATCGACGATCTGCAAATAGGCGACAAGACATTCACCATACGGCTAAAAGCCTTAAGAGTTGGGTCTGAAACGTGTTGTGGAGCCAATCTTTCAATGAGGATTCAAAAAATAATAATGGCAGATGACGAGGTACTGACAAAAAATTCATGCATTACTTTCCGTTACTGAAAACTTGAAAAGTACTTAACAAAGTATTATTCATGCAGGGCATTCAAATTGGATTGACATTATTTAATAATGATATCAAACACTTTGCTGGAAAATTTGAGGCCAATAAGACGTATTTCATATCCGACGGTGAAGTAAGAAGAACTGATCAAAATTATGCAAGCGCACACCCAGAAAAGGAGATATTGCTACGAAAATCGAGCAAAGTTCAGGAAACAATTGAATTTGTAGGAGGACAATTGCGCTACATCTTTAAAAAATTTAAAGATATAGATAGCAATGTCTCAAAAGACATATTTGGTACATCACCTCTCTCATTAACTTCATTGTACTATATACATATTTCTAATCATCATTCCATGAACTTTATTACTTTAAAATTATATTCTAAGTGAATCTTTTTATATGCAGATTTATGTGGAGCCGTTGCCAATGTCAAGGAATGCAAGCTGGTCAAGGGTTCAAATGGAGCGCCAAAAACTATACGCGCAATTACTTTGACTAACCAAGAGTACGTACAAGCTTCATAAAACTACAATTTCTTATTATCATTAAAATATTTATCATTTAATATAATTTATTTTTTTAACAGATGTCATCCTTTAGTTATTTCTCTGTGGGAAGATTTAGCTAAAAAGGAAGGATCAATTTTACAAAATATGATCAAGGATAAGCCCATCGTAGCAATCACAAAGATCACTGCAAGAAAGTACAATGGTAATTTCATTTACCTAATAGGAAACACATTTTTTTTGGTACAGTTTTATTTTCTTGCCTTCTGAATTTGTATTTTGGTACAATTTCTACAAGAATTTGGTAGCACAAACCCTTGATTTTTCTCATGCTTGGTGTGGGGTGTGACAATAGTATGGTAAAAATACATTCCATTCAACTTCCTTTTTGTTTCCCTACAGATGCCAATTAGTTGCATTTTGTCCAAACGGGGAGAAGTTAATACCTGGCATTTTCTGAGGGTTCAGCCATACATCTTAGATTCCTTCTGTGTTTTCATCTTAAATTGTAATTTTGTAGCATCATGATTCATGGCTTTCGATTATTTTAGTTCTTGAAGAACTTACAAAACTTCATCACCAAGTGGTGGGTTACCTACATAGAAACATTGATTCTTTCAAACCAAAAAATATATCTATAAACCTTCCAGGTTTCTGTCTTCTAAATTACATTTTTTTTCCGATGTGATTTTCTTCCCATGCAGAAGAATGGCAGTGGCAATCCTCTTCAGCATCAATCTTGATCATCCAACCAACTTTTAAAGAAGCTAAACTCTTGAAAAAAATGGTAAAATAAAATTAATACATATCCACTGAGCTAATTGAATAAAGCATCTTTATTTTATTTATTTATTTTCAACATAGGTCTTCCAAGATGCCTGATGCAATCAAAATAATGGAACTTAATATGAAAAGTAGAATGAAAAAGACGGAGGAAGTCTCCCTAGATGATATCATTCACAGTTCGGATAAACTGAGTGAGGTACTATTCAATTTATAATATATTAGCATAACTATTTATGTATTTATATTATTAAATTTTTTAAATTTTTTCCACTTTCAGAGAAAATATTATTGCTTCAAGGGATTTGTTGATAAGGTTATGAACAAACCTTACATATATTACGACTCTTGCAAGACTTGTGCTTCATCGATTCAAAAAAATGGTGATACACCATCCTGCCGCAAGTGTAATGAAGAAGATGTGGAAATAATTCCAAGGTAACACATATTTAATTTATGCTTGCTATACTTAATTTCTATTATATGATTGACTTACTTATCTTGCTTATTCAATATTTTAGATTCAGGATCGTCCTACAAGTCGTGAGTGACAATGGAAGCGCATTTGTAACGTTGTTTGAAGATGCTGCAAGCGTTTTTGTTGGTTGTGAAGTTGATCAATACCTTCAATCAATCAATGGGGTAAAAATATCATTCATTTTTTCACAATAATGTTTTTATAATTACAATAATAATATAATAAATATTATAGCACTTACAATTTATTTGTTTCGTTTGCATATTCAGGGAGAAATGATTCATCTTACTATAGATGACTGAGTTTGCAATCACCAACTCTATTTCGCTTCTTAACTACGGTCAAAAATAACAAAATGGAAGGAAGTCTCAACTTAGTAGCTGATGCAATTGAAAGAGCTGAACAAGATGGGAAAAAACTGTTAGAGATGACTCATCACTCACAAATTAACAGCATAAATCCCATCCATGTTGCTACTTCTTCAAATTCTCATTCGACATTTAAAATTGATGCAAATAAAAGGAAAATATTGAGAAAGAGTTCCATCAAAGAAGATGATGACATTGTTATTTCAAGTGATGATGATGATATCACCATTAGCACCATGAGGAAGAAGATGGATTTGAAGAAAAAATCAACTCTCAAGAAGATATCACTGTTGAAAATCATCAAAAAGGAGAAGAAATAATTGTTTTATTTTCCATTTTAAACCTGCATTTTCTCCGTGTATTATTTTCTACCATTCTATGAAAACATTATCATTGTTGACAATTCTCCTGGCATAGTGCTAATAATGGACTAGATCAAAATGGTTCAATTAAATTCTAGTGCTTCTTCTATTAGTGAAGTTTCTAGAAAAAAAAATATATATCAAACGGCGCAATGCACCTTGGGTCGCTACGGAAACAGCCTCCTTGTATAATTACAAGGGTAAGGTCTGCGTACAACTGACCTCCCAGACCCCAACCTGTTGGGAATATACTGTGTATGTTGTTGTTGTTGTATGAAAACATTATCATTGCCTTCAATTTTATAATTTCTCTCCATGTTGCTTTCTATATTTTGATTAAAATTTCATCATCAAATAATTATAAAATACGTGCAACTTCCTAGTATAATTAAAAGAGTAATGAATGCTCGTCGGCTGTATTTTTCAATGACTCGGGTATTTAATGCAGGGACTAACTTAGTTGGCCAGCTGCTTGGATAACAATCGACCTGCTATGGAGGGATCTTTGTGCTCATGTCATTTTAAAGTATACATTTTTTTTGGTATTTAGCTAATGAAGCATAAACCCAGCAATAAATTTGAAGCCAATTGGTATTCTTGGCATAGTAGCAAGGAATTTTTGTAATTTTTAAAATTTTTTGGGGTTTATATTTATAGTCTTGCTGTCGTCTGTCGATGTCCTTGGCTGTTAAATACGTGAAATATTGCTGCTTCATGATCAAATAAGTGTCTTCTCTAATATTATGCAAGATAAATTCATCATTTTTTTTTTCATTAATAATATAGATGCCTAATACCCTTCAATTTTGATCTAATTTCAATAAAAATCAATAAGAATGAGGGCAAAGTTGCATCACTCTGGGGACTTAAGCCGTTAGATCAACAATGTGATCTGACTCAAACCCCACTGTACTTCTTGTGATTATAACAACCCCTTTGAAAAATCATATTTGCTACACAGTACATGTAATAAACAGCACTTTAATTCCCTTAAAAAGAATCGAAAAATATCACAAATTGGAGCAGAAGTTTGAACATACCTCAAACAGACAATCTTCCACAATGTCTTCAACACAAAGACACTACATACATCAAAAGGATCAAATCAATGAATGAACACAAAAGTCTATACACATTACATATTTTTTTTTTTATCTTTCTTCTTCTTCTTCTTCATTTTCTGTTCCTCTTAGCTTCCAAATTGGTGGCCTCTCTTAGTGCTTGTTGAGCATCACTTTCCATCCCGAGCGCAAAGTAGCAAGCTGCCTGGAGATGAAAGGCGGTTGGCCACTCGGGCGAGACCACAATTGCTCGTGTGGCGTCCCCTAAGGCCTCGTTTGGCTTATCAGTCATTAAGTAGCAAAGGCTTCGCCTAGCATGGGCCGTGGGGGAAACCATTGTCCCACCATCGATGAACTATATAAGAAACACAAATTCCAATTTCGTCGAACATTATTCAAGTTCCGGAAGAGATAATCCCGAAAAAGTTTCACAAGTTTGCTTAGTTACGAAAAGCTACCAATATCTTTCAGAAGTACGAATATCTCCTCATTAAATTTCTTTCGAATCGGAAATGGATTATGCCATAATATAGTTGTCATATTATAAGTCAATTAAAGTGATCTATTAAATTTGTACCAAAAAAAAATTGATCTATTAAATTTATAATTTTGGATAAAGAGAGTATCAAATTGTTATAGATTTAAAAGTGTAAATACCATTATGAGAGTATATGAATTATGGATATGATATAAAGACGAATTCAATTTTAAATTCATTAAAATGAATTCAGGTACGCTTCCGCTTTATTTGATTGATTTTTAATATTTGACATGAATGGTTTTGGGATTGGATTAATTTCTATATATACCAACATCCAAAGGTTTCGAAACATTATTGGAAATTTTTAACCTCCCTCAAAATATATCATGCAATTATGATTCCCATTATCAAAAAGGCGATAATAGGCTTACCTGAGTATAGAAACCAATGGCGTTCGTAAAGTCTTTAGCCCGAAAAGCAGAATCTCCGAGCTTCTTGGAATTCAAAGTCTCCTGCATTTGATTCGTCCACAGTTGAAAAGATAGCTGCAGAGAAGAACATATTTCAAGAGTTAATTGACAGCAAATTTAATAATTTCATGCAACCAAATAATTATTCGAAGATGAAAAAAAAAAAAAACAAGAAAATACCTCGTTCGCGATTCCTTCATCATCTTTGTATCCGTTTTTGTCCAATATCTCGTGTATGGCAGTAAGATCCATTCTCAAGCAAGCTTCCCCTAAGGGAGTCAAAGGTATTGGCTGTGTACTGTTTGCATTTCCTTGTTCGACGCCAAGCAAAACATATGAAGGAACCTGTTTTCATGATATTCAACCACATATTATTAAAAATATATATATATATATATATATATATATATATATATNNATATCCTCAGTTTGGAGAAATTATCATTTCATATATCTAACTTTCATAAATTTACCTCGGTTTCTTTCTGCAGTGAAACAAGAGATGTGACGAGCGATTTGGTGTTGGGCCTTTCGCGGGCCTCATACTGCAAGCAACGGGTGGCCAACCGAACTAACTCAGTCCCATCATCGTTCGAGAAATGGCCCTCCAAGCAAGAATCTATGAGCATTAGAAAGTTCTTGCCCCTTATCAAATCGAGCGCCTGTTAAAAATAACACATGGGAATTTGGATTCAATTTCATATTTTACTTTTCTTGAAAGCAAATATAAATCCTGGTTATGAAATAACAACTTCAAGATGCTCGCTCGGTAAGATTAAATTGCTTCTATTGTTTAAAAAATGCCCCTTTTTTTTCCACCTTAAAATCGAAATAAACGACATACATGGCTGGGAGGTATATGCTTGCCACTCAAAAGATCGAGCAGCATTGTCCCGAAGCTGTAAACCACACTTTCGGGAATGACTCTTCCTGTGAAAAAGAACCAACTTCTTAAAAATTATTCACCTAACATTCTTTTCGTATTACTATTTAAAGTATATATATGCATTTGTACCCGTTCGCAAGTACTCAGGGGGCGTAAAAGCTAAGTTTGTGCTGTAACTTTTGCCGTCTCGACTATTCTTCATCAGTCCAAAGCAAGAAAGCCTTGGGTTACCATCCTTATGAACGAGCAAGCGCGTATAAGACCACACAATTCTCAAAAATATGATAAAAAAGCAAAACAAAACAGAGGTCATTCATTTCACCTTACCTGATCAAACAAGACTCTGTACGCATTAAGATCGTGATACAAAGCTCGTCCTTTACTACTGCAATAATCGAGAGCTTGAGCCAAATACAATGCCACCCTTAACCTCATTGACCATTTCATAGGTTGCTTGTCCCCTATTTTAGAACTCAGCACAACAAGCACACACAATAAGTAACTGAGGATAAATTACGAACATACACGTTGAGATTCAGCAAAATAAAAAGGCCACTCGATTTTTTTCGTTGCAACTTAAACAAAACTATACCAAAGATGCTAGGAGATTTTTTTTTTTTTAACAAATTTATAGTTAAACAAAAAGACAAACTTCTAGTTCTAGCAAGTACATACTATGATTAATGGTTGAGTGACTCACAATGGAATAAATGCTTAGCCAGGGTCTCGTTGGGCATAAATTCTGCTACTAGCAATCTCTCTTCCCCTTCAAAGCAACAACCAATCAGATTTGCCAATCGCTCGCTCCTCAAGTTCCCCACTGCCTTAGCCTCATCCTTCACCCGAAAACATTAAAACACTCAAATAAATGGAAAGGAAAAAAGAACACAAATTGAGAAAACAATTTGGATAACACAGAAAAAAGGAAAAAAAAAAATGGAATGAACAGGGAAAAACCCATTGTTTCAGTTGCAAGGTTTCTTCAAAGCCTTCTCAACCAAACC